TGGCACAGCCTGTGGCTGGTTGCAGTGCTGGCTGCACTGCTCTCCCAGTCACTGGGTCCTCCCCTGCACGGTGGGGTGGGCTGTGGGCTCTCTGCTTGTGGGGATGTTACTGCTGTACGTATTAGAGAAATTTCTAACCCGGAGCAAATAAATGCACTTCCAGGCAGCAGGGGGGCCTGCAGTGGTCATCTGGGGTGGGGATGGGCTACTCCATACCTCAACAGGGCCTTTTTCCTAACTCATGTAAATCACAGCACACCATGAAAACCAGCACTGAGCAAAGTCTGCAGAGCCAAACTCTGCCTGGTGTTCTCACTCCACAGCCCTGTTTACTGACATGGTCACCAGGTCCCTGTGCAGGCCAGTGTACAACTGATATTTTTCCCCAAGATAAATGCCCTTCACCCTCCACAGTTAGGAGTCTACTGTCAGTGCATAAAAGCAGCTTTACCTGACCACCATGCTTCAGAGGTCCCATGGGCAGGCAAGAAGCTAGTGGGCAGAGGCAGGGTTAAATGGTTAGTTCTGCATGGCAGAGTCTTTGTGCAGGGGATCCACTAGGCTTGCTCTCCATAGTGGAGCAGATGCTCCTCAGGGCATGCTGAATCTCCTCTCAGGATCTAAGCATGCACTTGACTCCCTGGAGCTTCAGGAGGGAATACTCTCATCTCTCTTACTAAGGCTAATTAGGTGCAAGTGGGTGCCCTTCCTGCCATTGCTAAACCACTGGAGATCATAGAACCATAAAATCATAGAATCTCTCATTGGAAGGAACCCATAAGGATCATCAAGCCCAACTCCTTGCTCCTTGCAAGACTACCTAAAACTAAACCACATGATTAAGAGCGTCCTCTATATGCTCCTTGAACTCTGACAGGCCTGGTGCCGTGATCACTTCCCTGGGGAGCCTGTTCCAGTGACCAGCCACCCTCTCAGTGAAGAATCTTTTCCTAATGTCCAATCTGCACTTCCCCTGACAGAGCTTCATTCCATTTCCTTTTGTCCTATGGCTGGTCACCAGAAAGAGATCAGCACCTCACCCTCCACTGCCCCCCTTGAGGAAGGTGCAGACTGCAAAGAGGTCACCTCTCAGCAATGAGGTCCCCCTCAGCCTTCTCCAAGCTGAACAAGCCAAGTGACCTTAGCCGCTCCTTGTAATTCTTGCCCTTGAGAGCTTTCACCATCTTGGTCGTCCTCCCCTGGGCACACTCTCATAGTTTGATGTCCTTCTTGTATTGAGGTACCCGAAACTGCACACAGTACTTGAGCTGGGGCCGCACCAGTGCAGTGTAGAGTGGGGGGTAATCACCTCCCTCAACCGGCTAGCGATGCTGCGCTTGATGCACCCCAGAACACAGTTGGCCTTTTTGGCTGCCAGGCTACAGTGTTCACTCATATTCAACTTGCCATCAACCCAGTCTCCCAGATCTCTTTCCATGGGGCTGCTCTCCAGCCTGTCGTCCCCAAATTTGTACATATGACCAGGATTACCCCATTCCAGGTGGAGAATCCAGCACTTACTCTTGTGAAATTTCATACAGTTGGTGAATGCCCAGCTCTCAAGCCCATCCAGATCTTTCTGTAAGGCCTCTGTGTCTTCAAGGGAGTTCACAGTTCCTCCTAATTTAGTATCGTTAGCAAACTTACTTAATGTACATTCAATTCCTGTGTCTAGATCACTTATGAAAATATAAAAGAGCACTGGTTCTAAAATTGAGCCCTGGGGAACCCCATGAGTGACTGGCCACCAATCTGATGCCATCCCATTTACTCTTTGAGCCCAACCCATCAGCCGATTGCTCATCCAACGTATCATGGACTTGTCTAGCTGTGTGCTGGACAGTTTATCAGTTTGGGTACTGTGAGTACCAAAACCTTTGCTAAGATGCAAAACCACCACTTCTGCTGGCTTCCCTCAGTCAACCAGATGGGTGACCTTGTCATAAAAGGAAATTAAGTGGGTTAAGCAGGACTTTCCCCTTGTTAATCCATGCTGGCTATGACCAATGACTGCATTGTCTCTCAAGCGTTTTTCAGTAACTCCCAGAATAACCTTCTCCATAATTTTACCAGGCACTGAAGTGAGACTGACAGGCCTGTAATTACCAGAGTCTTCCTTCTTAACCTTCTGGAAAATTGGGACATTTGCCAGCTTCCAGTTGACTGAGACCTCTCCAGACTCCCAAGACCATTGAAAAATAATGGAGAGAGGTCCTGCAACAACATCAGGAAGCTTTTTCAGTACCCTGGGATGAATCCCATTGGGCCCCATAGCCTCCTGTGCGTCCAGCTGGAGCAGTAAGTGTTGAACAAGTCAGAGTGAGCTGGGAGTTTACTATCCCCCTAGTCATGGTCTGCCAACACAG